CTTTTACCTGATATGAAGAACATCCAGGTTTTGATCTACATATGTAGGACTTTGAACTGTTTCAGTTCATATTTCTCTTATTAAGAAATGCAAAACTAGATTTTGTAAATATATTCTCTTGTAGTTTTTGAGAGCAGCAGTGCACCATGGAGTTAAGTTACTCCATCTTCTGAGTCCTGTGCCCTTGATTAGGCTGGTTATACTGCTGGGTCTTCCTTATCTGTAACATGTGGTTAATATCAATGTTGATTTCATAAGAATCTACATATGGAGTGTTTAGATCACATTAAATTTTATGATTTGTTAGGTTTCTTAAGCATAATTGTCTATTAAGCAATGGTATCCTGGCACATTTACTTTAGAAATAGTGTACAAAATCTTTAACTCTTCTATTTCAGTGCTTACCCTCACCTCTTCTATCCAAATCCCACACAAAACAAACATACATCCTTTAAAATATGCTAGTCTAACTTTGGTTGCATTTAAAAATGGTAATAGCTTCATGAATGTCTTCTGCTTTCTGCAAACTAAATCTTGGACATTTTTAGTGGTTGAGATTTTCCTTGAGGGCTCATGTTGCAGATTTTAATATGTATTAGGCAAAGAGTACAAAAGAAAATCAAGAAAAAATGACTGATAACGTGAATAGCAAAAATTATCATTTGCAGATTGTTTTATGTCAGCTATTGTGTTGGCAATTTTGATAGTCTAGTGTAATTTCCAAATGATCCTATGCTTATTTATTTCATTGGATGGTATAATATTATAGTAGAGCAAATCAATCACACATTTTATTTCTGTTACTCTTTGTGGAAACTAGTAATGTCTTGTATTGATCTCTCCAAGTGTGAAGGGAGGCTTTGCCATCTCGAAGAGATCATAAGTTCTTGGAGGGCAGGTGCCATGCCTTCAACGTGGTTCCTCTACCCTTCGAAGCAACTGGTAGTAGCTCTATCCATGTGGTAAATGAACAAAAGACATGCTTCCAAATATTCTAGGGTAAAGTGGGGATTCAAGTTCAAAGGCAAAAATATTCCAGCTTTGATTTAATCCCTTGCATATTTATGTTCCTGGAATGCTTATTTTTTAAGCTTTCAGCTTTTTCTAGTACAGCTTAGGTGCTGACAGAAGCCCTGATTTTCATCTGTAGGTAAGTCAACCTGTAAATAACACCTGAAAAAAAACACTTGCTTTGGAATGTCTTAAAAAATGGCACAAATTAAGAATTCAAGGCAACTTATATTGCATCTTAAATATGCCTGTCTTTGTATGATACATAATTTTTAAAGATTGTTTCCTCATTTTTTTCTCATTACAACAACAATCACTTTATGGTTAGCATAGGCTGGTGTTTCTATTTGCAAATTTGATTTATTTTAAATATTTTTATTGTTCCCCTTTTCTTACAAAGCCAAGATCCACAATTATTCTTTCCCTTTAAAAATGTATTTGATGTTATGTTCCCCAAATTATGTTGTTTGGAACACTTGTTTCATTACATATCACTCAAGAATGAATGTTATAATCAAATATATTTAGAAAATGCTATATTGACATATGAACATTTAAAAGGTTCACAGTATTTATTAGAGTAATAAAATTTATGTAAGTATAGAAGAATAATGAAATTTATAAGCTCTGATGTAAGGGAACATTAAATTTTGTTTAATCAAGCATTTTTCTAATATTTTTTTCTATCTTGGATAAATATCTCTGTCCTCCATCCCTGGGGATGATACTTAACATATTTAACAGCCAATTCATTGGCTCACCAGCCAGCCGGCTGCTCAACTGTCTGCCTCTCCTCTGCTCTTTCAGAGCCCACATCCCTGGGAGATTACAGTTCCCACAGTTGACCATGCGAAGATAACTGGAAGCATCTGTTAGCTGTGAAGGGGGTTTGCAAATGGGCACTAGGAATTGCCTTCCAGGACGCAGTACCTTCTCCAAGGTCACTTTCTCCTTCCCTGGGATTGGCTGAGGCACTGACCAATCAGGACAAGGGCTCCTCTTAATGTTGGAGCAAGTTCCTTGAGCAAGTCTGTTGTGCCAGCCCATAATCTTTTGATTGCCGGACTGTCAAAAAATCTAGAAGGCCTCCAGGGGAGAGGCCATGTGGTGAGGTTGGCACAAGTGCTGCTCAGAGAACTTGGTGCAGTAAATATTTTCCAACTGCTTTGTAAGTGTTGGATTGTTTTCATTTCTGTACCATTGTACTGATGTGTCCTAGTTGATTGTTAGTTTTATCCCTGATACATGTCAACACTCTAATTCTAGTGCTATAGGACAGTCTTGGGCACCTGCTAGTCTATGCCAATTTTAGTTTATGCAAAAGCATCATATTCTTTCCTTACTGTCTATTGATTATTATAATACCGTAAGGTTTAAACACGTAGCTTTTCCAGAATTGAGAATTAACAAATTTTATTTTAGTTTTTGAGGTTTGACAAATCAAGGGGCAAGAGATAGCACAAAAAGTCATGGTAGCCACTTTAAAGGGTCTAGGCCGGTGATATAATAATAGGAAAGCATCCAATAACGTAGTATAAGCTCTCTGGGAAAAAAGTCAGTAATGTAAATTTGAGCTGGTTCCTCCATTATCATCTTATTAATTGAGATTTCTGTTAAATACACAAAAACACAGAAATAAAGATGATTTCATATAGAATCCTTGTAGAATAATCCTTATTTTTAATTGTAGAGTGTTTTTTTAGTGTATAAATATTCACTGAGTATCTCAGGAGTCAAGTTGATAAAAATTATAATAAAATTAATCATCACCTCTGTATAGACTCATCCCTACTTCTCTAGCCTCCTTTCCTATTAACCCCATTAGGACAAGTGAGCCATTTTTTCATCTCCAACATAGTGCTACTGATTTCCCCCTATCACCAGGCAAACATTAGTAATGTAACAATATTTTCATGTTTCATGCTTCTCACAGCACCACCCTCATGTAGATTTTGCATCTGTTTTTGTTCTTGAACTTGTAAGTATTGTTCAGAATAATGAATAGAAAAGCTATCCAAGAAAAGGAGCTAGAGAAAGGCTAGTAAAATTTTTGAGACAAAGAAGTCTTACTAAGAAGATAAAGTTCTTCTGTTACTTATCCTTCAAACTTTTTACTTACCCCAGAAAGAGCAGGGTAAGAATAGGGAGAAAAATGCCAAACATCAAGATTGCACTGAGTTAGGAAATGAGTCTCAGATATTTCTTAGAGAGTAGGGGGAAATTTCACATCAGCATAAGTCTCAGTAGAAAAAAGATGAATATGGTCCATAGATAAGATCTCCTGTGAAAGAGTTTTGGCATCCTCTTCAAATGGTCCTGAAGGAAGCAGGTTATGTATTCAGGTTACCCATAGTGACTTCTAGTTCATAGTGCTCTTACTACTTCCCTTTTCTAAAGTCCTACCCATTTTCCATTTTCAAGATCTATAGTTTTTCCAAAAATCTTTGCACAATATCCCAGTCTTTGGTGATTTGAAATTTGAAGTATTGACTATTTGTAATATATAGAGAGGTAGGTATATAACAATATATAATTGTGAGGATACAATATTATCTGTAATGTTTATAGATAATATGTGCAAATTTTAGGGTGAATACCCCCTGGATCCCTAGCCAGAATAAATTCCTAATTCCTTTATTCCATAATGTTACAAAGCTTTTGTACTCCCGTGCCTGCTCTCAAGTAAGTTTTTAGGGCATGGTGATGAGATTGCTGGCACAAACTTCTATTTACTCTTTCTGGCCTGTAGGAATTTGCAACTTTCATCAATATTAGAAATGAATTTAAATGATTACATTTTAGTGTGTTCTAATTAAGCCAGTTTTATTTTTTAAGCCTTGTTAATTCTTATCTGTATTGTTGCTCTTAATACATGATAACTTTATATGTCTGCTTCATAAGTAAAGCTGCTGGATTCTTGAGAGTAGAGACAATGTGTTGTACCCTGGTATTTAGCATAGCACCTATTACATTTTTAGGAGCTCTACAAATATGAATGAATGACTGAATGGATGAATGAATGAATTGCATTGGGATCTCTAATATGTAAAAAAAAAAGACTGAAAGGAACTTTCACTTATATGTGTTTTCTTTAAATTTTTTTAATAAAAGAGCTGTGGTATAATATTAGTAAGAGAGAATTCAGGGGCAAAATACCTGGATTCACATCCTAGCTGACCACTTATCAGCTGTTTGCTTTGAATGGGTCTCTTAAGTTCTTTCATCAACTTTCTCCAAGTACAGATAATATGCTGTACTGTACATAATGGTAATAATGATCTAATAAGATTGTAATTCTGAAATATATAATAGACTTTCATAGAGAAAGTGATTAAGGCCTATTTATTAGTTTGAGTTAATAAATTATTGGCCAATGGATAAAGATGAGAGAGTCTCCACCAAGGCAGGGTTAGTGCCAAGAAGTAATGTCTCTCAACTCCAGCTTGCGTAACACTGCACAAGGCCGCCAAGTAATATGTGAAATTTCACATATTAAGACATTTTCTTTCTCTTAAATAATAGGAAAAGACTGAGTGACCTTTGAAGGGACTGATCCACCATATATTCTATGACTCATGTAAGAAAACACAATTTGTAGATAAATCAGGAGAATCTGCTTTTTCCCTATGTCAAAGATAAAGCATCATTTCAGAAATGTCAAATCTAAGTAAAATCTCTTTATTTCTTTGGTCAATTCAAGGGACACACTCATCCCTTAATCTTTTAAAATTAACCATATCCTTTATGCAATGTGGATATACTGAGGAGCACTGGAGAGATGTAGTTTTCATTTTTACCAATTCAATTTAAATGCAAATGTTAACCACTCACATGATGCTACTGTGTACATAATTAAGCATCATTATATACTACATGAATCATTTAGCAACCTTCCAAGAGCCATTCTACTATGTAAAACATACATTATACTGACAAGCAGCCAAATGCCATATACTTCTGTCCTCATTAATGCTCCTTTTGTATTACAGGTCAACCGATTATGGGACAACTTATGAGAAGCTGAATGATAAAGTTGGGTTGAAAACAATTTTAAGCTATCTTTACGTGTGTCCTACCAACAAACGTAAGGTAAGAAATGTATATTCAGCATGCTACTTATTTGTGATGTGACTTCTGTCTTGGTTCACTAACCTCTCTAGCCACCTAAAAATCCACTACAGTCCAACTTTAAGAGATGAATAGATGACCTGATGAATGTTAAGGTAGTAAAATGACTGACACATCGTAATTTGCAGATCAGCAATTGTGACTGTAGGAAGGCAAGGGGTAGGTATATCATTACCATTTCCAAGAGGCAACTATAGGAAATGAGTCTTGTTAGATGGATGCTGCTGACACTCTCATAAGACCAACGGCCAATCAGTGACAAGAATCAGAATGGACCTTGACAAAACAGAAAAAAAAGATGAGATTTTCATTTGTTGTCCTCTGTTTTCTGCTGACACGGAGTAAATAAATAGATTAACTAGAATTGAAGTGAATGCATTGTCTTACAGAAGGTTGCAAGTTTTATTTCTAACGTTTATTCAACCTGCATACAAATGTCCAGGATGAAGCCACTGCTGGAAGGAGCCTGGTAGATCAGCAAATACTACACCCTAATTTTACACGTGGCAAAAACTAAGGTTTAAAAGAAGGAGATGGTTTTCTCCCATTGCAGAGTGATGGGTACAGTTGGGACTAGAATTCAGTTTTCTTGGTTGGTGGTCATACTACATTACACCGCTCCAAATACTCTTCTGAGAGATATGTTATTTTCTTAGGAGGAAAATGTTTGCATTTAAATAAGAAAGACCTGTCTGTCTTAGAAGGAGAGTTGTTTGATCTTAAAGACTTGCATTGTCAAATTCTAAATTCTGACACAATTTCTAAGTATTACATGAATTACATGAAATAACAATGTTCATCAGGAAATAGAAAAGTGCTATTCATTAATCTGTTCTAAGCCATATTCTGTTAGGAATCTGCACTGGTATCTAGATTCTCATCTCGGATCTGTCAGTAGTTACTGTTTAGTGGCCTTGCGTAGGGTCTGCATTTTGTTATTCAGACTGAAAGGTGGATGAGAACATCTCTAAACAGTTATTTCCGACACTGGTTGCGCATACAAAACACTAGGTAGTACCCAAATGTGCAAGCCCTGGTCCCACCCTGTTGCTCTGGATTGGGCCTTAGGTACTTATACCTTGAGCAAGCTCTCCTGATACTTCCGGTATGTATCTAGAGTGAGAACCACTTATACAAGTGTAATGTCCCTTCTGGCTTTAAACATTTCAAGTTCTTCAATAGAAGCAGCATAATTTACCAGTTGCCCATAGATTCTCTTCTGATGGCTTGAGTATAAACCCATCTAAGCCAATTTACAAGTGTACAACTATGGTAATTTACTTAATCTCTCCAAGTGCAGTGTCATCAAATTTAAAATAGAGGATAATTATAGTACCAACCTCATGAGGAAAGTTGTGAGGATTAAAGAAATAAGTCATTTCAAGTGTTTAACACAGAGTAGTTAAGCTTAATCAATGTTTTCTCTTCAATTTCTTCTCCTTTTATCACCTTCCTCCCCCTCCTTCTTCATATAATTATTGGAGGTAATAGTAGCGATTATCCTCTATAAATAGCAGTGTTCATTAGAACTTTCTACAGCGATATAAAAATTTCTCTAAGCTGTCCAGTACTGTAGATATGAACCGCTTATGGCTACTGAATATTTGAAATATGGCTAGGATGACTGAGGAACTGGATTTTACATTTTATTTATTTTCAGTTAACTTAAATGTAAATGCCCACATTTGGCCAATGGCCATAGTAGTACACAGCATAGTTCGGTAATGTCATCCTCACACTTTCAGAGATATGTCCCACACTTTCCTCTTGTCCCCTTACTGGCTGATTATTGGTCCATCATCAACAATTACATGTAAACAAATTTTTATCTGCTGTATATAGTCCTTGTAATCCTAAATCGAGGAGCTGAACCTAACATCCTTTATTTTTATAATGAGCTTTAGTTATGTTCGTTGGTTTTGCATCAATTCTTGTAATCCCTATTGATTTTTCCTCTAGTTCACATTTTAAGTAAATTCTGTTTAGCAATCAACACACTGTAGGCACCAAAGGATACAAAGGGAAATAAGCCAGCGTTCTGCCCTCACAGGCTCTGTATTCTCGTAATAAATGCAGTGTGAGTTTTTGTAATTGAAAGTTCCCTTGAGACTGTGTCTACCTTGCCGGTGACTTTGGTGAGTCACTTACATTTTCCCGTTTGTAAAGTGGTATAGGCAAAAACAAAGACATTTCGTGGAAGAGACCTGAGAATTGTTCTCATCTAGTTTTAGTCTGTTTTAATCATGCCAATAGAGAAGAATGTGATTTAAATACATAAAATGTCAAATATTGTATGTAAGCACAGGCTATTCATTCGCATCAGAATGGGTCACGAGCTAGAGATCCCAAGGTTGTTTGCAGGAGCTGGACTTGAAAAGTAGACTCTGAATTCCTGATGTAGTTCTTAGGAGTGGAAGACAGAATGCAGCAAGGAGCCCTGCCATTGAACCTGCTCATATCACTACACCAGTATCCACCAGGCACATACTCACTCACTCTCCAGTTACCTGGAGGGCTTAAAAGAGAGACTTTGGCTGTGGGTCATTTGCTAAAATCGAGGCTTGAGAAAGAGAAGGCCTTGCCCGTGACTGTGAGAAAACAGTTTCCTCTGGGCCAGTTACCTTCCAGAAGCAGAGTCAGGCCTGAGCTGTTTCGATCACAATGTTTATGGGAGGACCGAAGAGAAGGGATCTTTTCCTCTGCAGATAAGCGAGGCCTTCAGGGTCACTTTCGGCGATGTTGATAGATTTAAGAAATATTGGAGGACGATGAAGGTCTTTACAATGGTGCAAAAATCAATAAAGTTGACATAACAGTGAATTTGTGTGCAGTTTCTCTACTTAAGAGATGAATTTATCACCATGGAAAAATGTATTTCTGCCCCCTCCAAAGGGACACAGTTGGACCAGAGATAGTACCTGCACAACATTTTAAAGTGTGAATATATTTCCCCGATCAATGAGAATTTATGTTTAAGAAGGGAGGAGGGGAGAAGGAGGAGGAGAAGGAGAAGAAGAAAAGAAGGATCAGGCTCTGTTAACTATGCAGGACACAGGCACTTCCAGTTCTCCCAGGACTTCTGTATCCTCCCGTGGAAAGGCAGGCTCCTTTAAAGGGCTGCATTAATGCTTGGAGTTCTCCAGGGTGCTTTCAAACAAGTTAACATCTTCTGTGCCAGACACTTCTGTTTGCTTTTCCCATCTGTGAGAGCAAATGGAATATAGCTGACATCTGGGTAACTCTCCTACAGGGTAACCTGTTTTGCCTTCATGTTTTTATTGCTCCTTTTAGCTGCTTGTGAAGACTAGTACAGTTCTTCAATCAACACATTTCCAGCAGCAGTCATCACGCTCTGGCTTTGCAGGCAGCTTGTTAGGGGCATTACTGGGATCAGATTCCAGAACAAAGCAGGCCCTTATTTACAGTTTAAATTGATGATTGTCCATTGGCTGTCTGCTATAAATTATAGCAGCTTTTCTTGGATAGGTCCGTTACAGTAAAAATTGTAATGTGTTCATAGGTTAGGATAGATAACCTTGACCCAGAGACATAGAAAGCCTGCTCCCAGATACTATCCTAGCTCTTGCATACTCTCTTCCAGAAGGATCCCTGCACCAGGCTTCTGATGTATGAGGTTGGCTCAAAGAAAAAGAACAAGGATGGGGTGGATCCTAGTAGCAGAGGATAGGCAGGCTTAGCTTATCTGTCACTGTGTCTCCAAAGGAGAGCAGTCCCCAACTCCCAGTTCATGGTAAACCCCAGTGCTTGTTGGTGTCATCAGTGGTTTATTGGATACATACATATAATCTTCTGTGAGAAAAGATGATTTGAACTATCCCTGAAATGAACAGCGGGGGCCCAGAGAGTGATGAGAAGAACAATACAAATGTAGCAAAGAAAGAAAAACAATCAATGCTGAAATCTCAGTCTTATCCTCACTGTGTTTATTTGTATTCTTCCTAACAGGAAAACTTCTTTATACTTTGTGTGTATCTATGAGCAATACCTTTCCCATTACCCCCAACCAACCTTAGCTGTTTTCCCTTCATGAGATGTTGTTAACATCTTCAAGGTTAAAGAATGCAAAATCCCAGGTGGAATTCTTTGGAAGAGAGAAGAAACAAAAAAGTATTGTCTTTAGAACCATGGAACAGCCCATCATTTAGTTGTTAGACCCTTGTATTCTCTGCATATGATGTTTCCAGCAAAGAAGAAAAAACTAGAGAATATTTGTCCTTTATATCTCCTGTGCCCCCTCCAGCTCCTGTTGCTTCTCCTGTCTGCGTTATCACCACTTAATCAATATTATTCCTGCAGAGAGAGCCTTTCAAGACTTTCATCCTATAAATAGGACCCTAATCCCCAGAACACATTGATCATTCTTTTGGGTCTCTTGGTACATGCCAACATTAAACACTGTGTTTTCTCCAGATGTTTAGGTTTTGATTAACATACTATATGTGGCACTTTCTAAATAAGCATTTAATTATTCCTTGCCTCTTTATATCCTGAGCTGTCTTAACTCCTCTTGCCATTTGCTTGGGTGGTCTACATCATATACGTGACCTTTGGGAACAGAGAAGAAGTGGTTGACAGAGCTGGTTGGCTTCTCTTAAGGAAAATTATGGAATCACTGAATGAGAACCTAAAAGATGTTGGACGTATTCAATTCAGATGCTGCTTTTCCACTTCATAGACATGGAAACAAGTTCACGAGAGTTCAGTGACTTGCCTGAGAGGTTGCATACAACTGGTGAATGAAAAGCTAAGATATTAGACCTTTAAAGTAAACCTCAGATGCCACCTATTCCATAAAATCTAATCAATTTCACTAATGAGATTTTCTCACGCCCTCTTATCTCCAAGGCATCTGCTTTTCCCTTCTAGCACTTCTTTTCCCACTTTTTTATAAAAACATTATATTTTATTGATTATGCTATTACAGTTGCCCCAGTTTTCCC